ATGCTAGTCCATCGCAGGGTTACCCCCAGCATTAAGTTCGCCGGTACCCATTTATACCCATTGGAGAGAGGTACTGTGGGAGTAAAGTATCTTGCCCAAGAACACAACACAATGTCCCCGGCCAGGGCTCGAACCCAGACCGCTTGAGCCGAAGTCGAGCGCACTAACCATGAGGCCACCGCGCCTCCCACACTCTTCAGTGGCCGGTGATTAACAACCTACAACCTGTGATACTTATTTGTCAGGTTTCGTCATAAATATATATCAGGTCTATTGCGTGAAAAAGAGCTTTCGTTGTGTTGAGTTTCAATTTGTTGTTTGTTTCAGTAGATGATAATGTCGGTTAAAAACACATACCTTTAAACGCACTGGCAGTCCATACCTTAGGGAACGCTTCAAAATATCTTTGATACATTTCTGTGGAGAGTTATTTTTGCCATTTTTATTTTCACTCAATATCGTTCAGTGGGCGTACAAGTGCCTTAATGTCAAACCCCGCGTACGGTCACCCGCTTAAATAGCGAGTTGCAATTATCTGCGCATTTGCAGTGATTTGATTTTTGATCTGACAATTCGATTGATTTTAAAAGTTACTCTTGGAAGATCCTTGTCCATTTAACTTGTGGGAACTGGGGAAGCTATACAAGTAATAGTCTGTCATTTGTTAGGTGTTTTCTCGGCATATTTAGTATTTTTGTGCAAGGATCGTAGAGAACTGTTGTGTCCTCGAGCCGGAAAAGAAGCGGCTTGTTCCATACAAGGGTTAGAGGTCGGACACTGAAGTTTCCTAAGACAAGGAATTATTATGCCACACGAGAAAATCGTAAATCATCCAGGGCAGTGTGTGCTAGTGATTCATACGATTTCTACTGGTTTAAAACCTTCCAGTGCCAATTATCATGACAGGTCTTTCAATACCGAAACCTTGTTATTGTGGACAGTAATAATAGTCCAACACTTTCCCTTTAATTAGTTTCCTTCCCTGCTTGTGACATAATGTTTGTCTGCCCAAGCTTTGTCAGCGTTCATTTTGTTCAACTGAAAGTTAGATTGGCATTACATTGCTGACAGGTATTATATATATCTAGTTTACCTCTAGGAAAATGTCTTCTCAGGTCGGTCCTGTAATACCAAATCATCGGCTCCGCCAACTTTCCGACCTCTGAAAAAAACAACTAAACAGTTATTAAGAGATTTTATCCTTGACGTGCACTTAATTTGACTTAACAATCACACACTGTCGGTAATAAAAAGTAAATTGTAACTGCACGCATCCAGTTGAAACTTCTGTTCATAAAGAGACTATCACTTTAAATTTTAGAGTTTAGCAAATAGTCAGCAAGTGATACATTCAGGGGTCAGTCAGTATAGTGCCAGTATTTGTGGACAGGATCGAAGAGATTGCAACTGGACGACACATTGAAAACCAGAAGTTCTTCTCGTCGCTTCGCACGACTGGAAAATGTCCTATTGTTGAAGATCTAGACTGAAGGTTCGACAACCCAGGTGAACGCCAAAGATTTTTAGAGTTCTGTTCTGTTTGAAATTATCTGACAGGTTATATGTTCTCTGCCGAGGACTAGTGACTTACTGCTCTCGCCAGTCGACTAACTCGGCAGCTGCAATTTATCGCTTAATCAGTTAACTCGGAAAATAACCCTGACAGTAATACTTTCGAGGGCTGACTTACGATCACCTAGTGGAGGAGTTCAATTCAATCTCATACTACAAGAATTAGAGAAACTAACCCTTGAGAAAGTCTATGGTCCATTCCCTCATCATGTCATCCCACATTATGGGAGTGACGCCCTTACTGCGAACATGGTGGAGAACAGGAATCATGTGTTCCAAGAATATCATGCTTTTGTTTCGTTGATCCTCGGTGCATGTCCGACAAGTCTTCAAATTCCACACCTGCAGTCAAACAACAACAAGCCATTTTGCGTATGAGATCGTGAATTTAATGCTTTGAACTTCTTTTGAGCTTCCTCCTTTTCCTTCAAATACGACTTATTGAATACGAACAAGAGAGCATGAAGGGTGAGAGAGTTCATCCCGTATAGTCCTTATTTCGTAGGTAATACCTCTCAAGTTATTTTTAGACATGGTACTCACAAATAATGTTACCATGTACGTTACATGGTGTTTTCGTGGCGGATGAAAATGGTGTTAAGTCGCTTGGGTTGTCCACGTGAGCAAAATCCACGTCACAGGATTGACTAATCCCGTCCTGGGATTTCTGAAGCAGGAAGTGATCTAAAAATAACTTGAGAGGAATAACCTTAGGAATAAAGCCTAATTAACTTTCTAACCCTTCATCCTCTCTTAATTAGCAACGTTACTCACCTCGTCAGCTCCGACATGAAACCATTTAATCCCAGGATGTAACTGTGCTACTTGGTCGATCATCTCTTTAACTAATATCATTGACTCTGTTGAATAGAATCATAGGTTCGACTAACAATCAGTCCTTCATTGGTTGGTCTAGCTCCTCGCTACCAAGTTATTGATGAGAAAACAGAACTAGTAAACAGGTGGGTGTAATTTCAGTTTAACTTACCGTTAGCAAAACGATGTGGAATATATAAGCCCCTTTGGTTTTGTTTTAAATTCTGTGCTTCTGATTTGTTTGTTTTTACACTGCCTCTGACTGGCCAAAATAATACAACACCAAAGTAGCGCACATATTAATTACTTCAGTAAGTACTACGTGATCAATGCTATGCCTCTGTGAATTATAGATAACTAATTTTTAGAAGAGGAACCTTAAGTACATTAGAACAAACAATCCTTAAAGTGGTGTATAATTTAATTGGACCGGTGCTGTAACAGTTGTCAGCATAGTCATGTGTCAGGAGGGGCTCCCCTCTTACCTGGATTCTTTGGACAAACGGAGTTGGTGTATTTTGTTGTTTCACGAAGATGTGCGAACTTATTGTGCTTCAAGACAAACTAATAAAAAAAAAGAGCGCAAGCTTAGCCGAGGTGATGAACAACAAACACGGAAAGTGGATTTTATCAAATTATGGTTTGTGTACTTTTTGTAAAGATTTATTTCTCATTCAAGGAGACAGCAAATCGTCTTTGAACTATTATTTGTGAAAGTCTTGATAGATACCTCAAGATGGCCGAATGTCTGCACAAGTGGTATTACTGTAAGGTTATGATACTGAGCTTCCCTAACCAGAAAGGCAATCTCCTCTTGGCTTAAATTGTAAAGAATGCAAAGTTTATAAGTTAAATATATGTAGAATATATTTGCAGTTCTATTATTATTGTATGTAACGTACTGTTTTAGCATTAACGATATAAATGACGATTACAAATTAAACCAAACGTTTAAAAATCTGTTTACTCAGGGAAATTCAACTTGATAGTCTTAAACTGATCGAGACACGAATGATGCTGGTAAGATTTTCTACATTGTCAGTTGGATTTGTCATGTTCGATGTTTCACCTGTACGCGTCAGGTCCTTGAATCACCTGGAGCTCTCCACAATACGGGAACGTATCAGCATACTCGATAAGGAGTCCTGTGGCACCCCAGTGAACAAAGTACGGCAGTAACTAAAAGAAAGAGTCACATTTTTCACTTGCTACCTTATATAATTATCTTTATCAATAAATCACTGGAAAGTGCATTTACCGAAAATCTAGGGAGATTTACACCATTTTATGCGTCCATCGAGATCAAGGTTTTTATTCCCGCGATCACAGCTACCACAAGTTTCTGCGAACTCTTCACGACAATTACCAGAAAACTCTGCGCGTGAGTCGTGATAATGACAACTCTCCAAAAGAACATTTTTATCCCCTAAAGCTAAAGCAGACGCCCAAAGACTTCGAAGATGCAAACATTATGCTAACTTCAACATGAGCAGTAGCATCCTGATAAAGTTATAACAAATCACCTGTAGTAAGTAAGTGATCTTTGGAGGTGCTCCTCCGAGATCAAGGTGAACAAGCTTGTGGCCACTAAATCTGAGATAATCAGAAAACGAATAATGTGAGTATAACTCCATTTTAGGGGATGATCGGCTTACGATAAAGGAGTGGAAGGCAATTCCTGCATGCGTTATTAATCTTCATTTCTTTGTTTGTTTTCCAAAGTTCAGTCATTGGTTCAAATTGCACCTGCTCCTGGTCTGACCAATGGTAACAAACACTGTACGCCTCTTTCCCGACCAATCAGGCGCAGAACAAAAATCAAAACGTAACTAGGGGCGCTTTCCATTCGGCCAAAACTTCTTGTTTGAATTTCTTGAAATTCCAAGTGACAAATGGAATTTCCGGAAAAAGTGGACAATCTTACAAATATTTCGGAACTTTCGAAACGGGGGAACATGGTACGAATATTTCCTTGGAAAGTTTCCGGAAATCCGAAAATTGTTAGCTTAGCTTCGGAAATAATAATAATTAAATTCATATAGCGCTAATTATATAAAATATTCATAAGAGCTTTACATTTTAAAATATAAAAAATGCGAATCATTCAACTGAAAATTGCGGAAATTCCGGGATGAAAATCCAATGGAACAAAACTTCCCGGTAAGAAATTTGCGAAAATTTGGGTATAACTACCGAGGTTGTCCTGTTTTCCAGAAACTGTGGAAAATACTGTTCTTTTGGCCACCGGAAATTTCGGAAAGTGCAAGCTGGAATTTTTGGTTGAATAGAAAGCGCTCGAGGAATACAAGAATTCGAAAATTTCTAACTGGGAAGTTCTGATCCATTTGATTTCCTGGAATTTTCACTAGAATGTTTAGCATTTCGGAAATTTAACAATTTTCGAATTTTCCGGAACCTTAGTCATGGTACTTTCGTAGCATTTGCCCTCGTTTCGAATATTCCGGAATCTTTAGTTGAATGGAAGGTGCCCCTGGCTTCTTGACTGTCAGGCCCCGAGTGTAGCACACCGCAGTTCCACTATTGCCGTTATTCCTACACGTGGTGAAGATCGATGTGTAGTAACCACCAAGTGCAGTAAAGTATATTATCAAGCACAGTATCGTATATATCTTATTATAAATTTTAAGAGGAATCTTACTTGTTTTTCACTTTTTCTTTGTGAGGCTCAGAGCGGGTGACGTGCTGAGCTGTCATTCTCGTTGTTAGATTGTTCAATATTTCTCTTGTGAGATTTAGTTCACGTTTTGCTTCATTTGCTTCCTTTCTAGCATTTGACAACTCTGAAAAACGAAGTGCAGTCTTACTCAGCTCATGTATTCTCGTTTATTACCATTATTATACTCATTGAGGCATGTTTGCGGACTTTAAGGTTTAAACACACAATAAACGGCTAAGTAAGCTACTATAAAAGTAGCTAAATGTAAACTTTTTAATCACCGAGATCAAAAAAAAAATAATAATTAATACTAATTAAATAATAGCTCAATGGATAAACGAATGAATAATACTTTAAAGACTGCATCAACCAATGCATGTGCTTAATTACTGTTGTGATGCGCTTTTGAATATTTTATAGAAAAGGCGCAATACAAATAATAAATGTTATTGTTATTGTTACATTACAAGATCGAAACTGAAGGCAGAAGTACTAATTGTGATTAAAATTCGGATTTAGTTTGCAAGAAAATGAACTGGGTGTTTTACGACCTTTTATTTCCAAATCTTCTCATTTTTCTCGAAGCTGAACTCACTGTCGTTTCTTACCAGTCAAGAGACGCTTCATCATGATATCGGTAGCACCGCATTCAGTGAAGTTTAAACCAGTCGACTGATTCCATCTAAAGAGAAAAAAATACTTATTACATTAGACTTGCTTCACGTGGTCACAATCTTAGCCACTTAAGGTCATTGCACTGAAATAGAACCTGCACTGAGATTTTTGTGAAACTTTGCTTATTGATTGTTTATATTATAGGAACTTCAATTTGGGAATAAAAATGAGGGGTCTCCATGTTCGTTTAGGGGCAACAGCACCTTGTTTATACCCAATACATCCTTATAATAGCACCATGATTGTAGTCACGATTGCTTGCTAAATTCACGTTTCCGACGATTGTTTCTTGCTCAACACTGAGAATTGGGCCTTATTTGTTTTACATAGAGAAATTTATTACTCAGTTCAACACAACAGAAAAAAATGATAGGTCACCGTACTTGTTTTCGAGAAAATGACGATTTACCTCTATGGCGAGGTCCAGCCGCAAAGAAAAAGCTGC